TTATTGCTGCTTGTTCAAACTACCTGTTTAAAATCCACTGAAACTGCAAAATTCTTGTAATTTCTTTAGCCAATTTATTTGTTTTGTGTTCAATCCACTTAAATGTGTAAACCATTAAGTTAACTAGCACGTTTGGTGTTGAGACAACATGAGGGAAATGTGTTGGTCCAATCTGGCGGGAAATGTTGACAATAAAAGTAATCCTAGGTGTTTAAAGTGAACAGAAAAACTTTAGTTTGAAGATTTAGAAGATTTTCATGCAATGCTTTCGAGTTTTGAGATTAGCACCCATGCTTTGGTTGTTGGCTCCTTTATTAGCAAAATTGCAGTTTGTTGTTTTGCTAAGTGAGAAATAAACTGCCCTAAAATGAGTCCTGAGATTATTCTCAATCAACTGTATATGTGACTCGTGAAATATGCTTAAAATGTCTCTTTTAGTTCGTTTAGAATAACTTTAAATAAAACCAAGAGACTTTGAAATACGACACATGATAGGCATATATGATATTATTAGCTCTCTGAGTTTCAGTTAAATAAAAATACACCTGTGTTTAAACTTTTATTTAATAAAATCATGTTGGACCAACTTAATTGCATTTCTTTGTGTAAATAGTTTTTTAGTTAGTGTTAAACAAATTTGCTGGATGGAAATCCTGCGCTCAGTTAAATTAAGTTCATACAATGCATTATTTTTTAAGTGTATACTGTAAAAACTACTTAAAGTGAGTAAACCAATTGCCTTAAAAGAAACAAGTTGCCTTTACAAAATAATTCAATTAAACGTATTGTAACTTGGAACTGTTAAGTTGACTTAATTTTATTAATTTTACTCATTGTACTAACTTTTTTAAATAAACTAAACTAATAACTTTTTCCAGTACACCTTTATTATATTTGGGGTCTTTTTCCTGCTTTTCTGTATCTAGCAAAATGACAGTAAATAAATCTGCTCTTTCAGACTCCAGTGTGTCTTCTAAATTCAAAACAGGCTATAATTGTAGATTTTTTAGACTTAATGAGCACCAATTATGTAATATTGTAATAATTACATTAAATATTTAAAAATAGATGTGCTAAAATAGTCGGACACTGTAAAAGGGATTAGTCGACTTTAAAAAAGAACAATTTGCATAATTATAAAAATTAAGTCAACTTAACAGTTCCAGGTTACAATGGGTTTACTTACATTATCTTTCTGAAGTCAACTTTTTGCTTTTAAGGCAATTGGTTTACTCGCTTTAAGTAACTAATCACTTTTCCAGTGTACTTATAAAAAAATAACCCATTGTTTGAATGGACACTGGTGTGTCTCCATCGTCATCAAAACGGACAACCTGCTTCATTCCGGACATTTTTCAGGGATGTATTGTAGACCTAGACTACAGTGTTTATAACATGATGACATTGTGTAGCCCAATAATGTGAAAAAGCTGCTGTCAATATGCAAGATTATAAAATCATTTGAATGCTTGTGCGACTGTACATTTTTTCCACGCTCACATGTGCATGATGTCACAACCACGTGCACTCTATGTTCATTATAAATGAGCACATTTGTTGTTATTATCCTCTACAAGTCATCTGTCTTTATGTCTTCAATTTTAATACCCGAAAGTGTCAAAAGTTTAGATATTGCAAATGTATAAAAAAATATTTAAGAATTGATTAAAACTATTAAAAACAGAGACTAAGCCAAAGGAAAGTGAAACTATGTTTACAGTTCAAATTGTTGACTCACTAGTATTTTATTAATCATGTTGGAATTAGAGTCGACTAAATTACAGGGAAAGTTATATTCTGTTGACACAAGAGCACTAACCGAGTTAGTGGTGCCATAGCAGTGGTCTGTGGCTCTTTAGCGACATTGAGGTTCAAAGTATTAACCTATTAAATATTACTTAAGTCACTATTAAACTGCTAAACAATTAAACTGATTTAAAATTAAACTTAAATTGTTTGGCCAATAGAAAATATTTATTTAAATAATTTATTTAAATAATTTATATATATTTTTAGAATGATTATTTCTATTATTTAAACGTACGCGCACACACACACTCACACACACATATATTACACACACACACACACACACACATATATATATATATATATATACATATACATACACAAACTTTTACATGCCTGTTTGTTTCAAACATACAATTTGACAATATATTTTTCACATTTAATTCAGTTTTAAGAGTATATAATTTGTTTGAGAATCACTAACCAAGATGACAGACAAAATCGAGATTTTAGCCATTTATTTGCTGACATCATAAAGCAAAAGAAGATTTTTCTAATGTAAGAAAAATAACTGTGATCTAATCAAGTGCACTTCAACAAAGTGTCTGTAGAAGCTGTACGCCTTTATCTGTGAAGTGAAGACATGAATCAAAAATATATAATCCATCTTCAGGATAAGGCTTAAGGTGGGATGTTGAGACAGCCTGTGTCATGTGAATGCGTTCATTTGACCTGCGTTTCAAGCATTCTGTAAATCCTTTCCTGATAAAAGAATAATAACAATAATAATAAAAATCTGTCATGTAGCCATCAGATAACTCCACAACTCAAAATGTTAAACATAATTAGAGAGTGTGAACATTTGTGCCAAACCATCCTGCCAAATTCACAACTGCTGAGGTTTCCATGTTCTTTACAACAAACAAGTCAATCATTTACAGTTTCACATTACAGCAACAACACAAAGCACACAGGAGAAAAACCATATAGAGTTACATGTAGTCAGCCGTGTTTTAGCAAGTGTTTGTACGCAAGGAAAAAAATTACTTGAAATGAAAAAAATTGCAAAGGCAATACATTGCACTGCAAATATACATTAATTCTGCATTATTTGTAAATATACACCTTAGACAAAATGCGTTGAATCTTGGGTAGTGTTTGCTTAAAGAGATAGTTCTCCCAGAAATGAAATTATATATATATATATATATATATATATATATATATATATATATATATATATATATACACATACATACATACATACATATATATATATATATATATATATATATATATATATATATATATATATATAATTATTTACTCAACATTTCCATTAACATTTTACAACAAGATTTTTCTAGTTAATGTTATTAATGTATTTATTGTAATGTTTGGACCTACCGTTTCGATGAAGACCATGTAGGTCGAAATGATACAATCTTTTTTTTTTTGGGAGAGCTAAATGTGGTACACTCTTAGAAATAAAGGTAAAAGAGCTGTCACTGGGGCACTACCTTTTCAAAAGATACATATTTGTACCTTAAGGATCCATAAAGGTACCTCAAAGGTACTTTTTAGGTACATTTGGGTACTAATATGCACCTTTTAGGTACCACTGTGGACTATTTGGGTACAAATACGTATCTTTTAAAAAGGTACAGCCCCAGTGACAGCTTGTGTACCTTTATTTCTGAGAGTGTTCTGTGTCTATTTCTATTTACTTTTTTCCATTAATGTATTTACAAACATGACCATGAGTTTGTAATCATCTTTCTTAGCATTAGTCAATGATAGTTGTTCATTGTTAGTTCATGTTAACTCACTGTGATAACATGTTATAACATGGCTCTCGGGAATATGTGATTCTAATTAGTGAAGGTATGTTATTTTTGAAATAACAACAGCAACAACACACACCAATAGGAACCATATATAAATATGAGCATATTGACAACACAAAAAAGTGCAATAGTTTAACAACCATATCATTTTTTAAGTTATCATTCATTTGTTTAATGTAATATAAACTAGCTTTTTATTTGTATGTTGTTTCTTTGTATGGCTTTTTATTTGAATGTTGTTTTTTATGCAACTATTAAATAATATTTTTATCTTCTGTAAATTATGGATAAAATATAGAACTTCTAACAGTTTAATAACATATATAAGATACTATACTTGAAAAGTTGTTGGGCTTTATTCTGCGAGAACAACTGCCTAGATGTGTAGGCCTACTGTATTTTCCATTAGGCTACTTACCAAGCACATCTTTGGATTTTAATAATGAATTTGTAAAATGTTGGAACTATGATTAATTAATGCTGTATAGCACAGGTGTCAAACTCAGTTCCAAAAGGGCCGCAGCTCTGCACAGTTTAGTTCCAACCCTAATTAAACACACCTGATCAAACTAATTGAGTCCTTCAGGCTTGTTTGAAACCTACAGGTAAGTGTGTTGGAGCAGGGTTGGAACTAAACTGTGCAGGTCCTCGGCCCTCCAGGAATTGAGTTTGACACCCCTGCAGTATAGGTTTATTCTTTCATTAACTAACATTATCTAACTGAGGATTGTTGTAAATAATGTGATCCGTGTATTCAGTCAGTTTCTTTCTTCTGATGAATACAAAAGATGTTTTAAGCAATGCTGGCAACCAAACTTTTAATCCCCACTGACTTCTATAGGATTTCAATTATGGAGAAACCATCAAATTCTTGGGTAACATTCTTCAATGGGGTATATGCACTGCTTGAACTAGTGTAATGAACTTCCGGTGAAAGGTTTATGTGACTATTTTCAGTTTTATGAGGTTCTTTTTCCAGCATCAATATTGTAATGTAATTCAAATATAATCAGTTAAATAGACATCCATTTGGATATTAAAGCGTAAATAGAGACGAAATACTGTGGTAAAATTAATTTCCGTATTTTAAAGACATGGTGTGGAAAATTTGAATTTAATACAGTGTTTCTTGTTTGGTCTGAGACCTACTTTATATAGCATGTCAGCCAGGCAGTATTGAACACTGTTTTTTTTAAAGAAGCAATTTTGTTTGAGATGACAATTCACAGGAAGCCCTAAGGCTGGCTGACTGAAATAAAAGTCTGTGTGCATAATATCTTATTTTGTGCTGAGGGGTTTGGAACAAATGTAAATGAGTAAAACTTCATTTTTGGAGTAACTATCCCTTTAACATCCGTGTATTTGAAATGAAAACACATAGCGACAAAACATAAATACAAAATGACCAAGCAGCATTGTGATTCATTGTTAAATACTATTGACATCATTAAGCCATAAAGTGGTACAACCATTTTCATATAATCGTCCCTGTATATAATTACACTGTTTACAGTTTCTATACACCGTGTTACATACAATCGGATACATACTGTATGAATAAAAGGCAATACATAGCAGGACAGTTTGTGCAAACCACACGGGTTATCAACAGCAGATGGCAGTGTTTCTCCTTCTTTCAGAAAAGGGTGTGTTTGTCTTCATCTGAAGCATATTAAATCCAGCAAAACACGTCGCAGTTTCCAAATATGCTTATTCAAAATGCGTTGTTGCTTTTGAGGTTAAAAGTTGCGATTAAAAACTCTGAAAAGCACAGGCAGATTCCAGTCCATACTTGTTGCCAGTGGCACAGACCATCCTCATTGGTTTTCGTTTTTGTGACGGCACACAGGTTTCCATAGCTACAGTTGGTTAGGTTGTATAAAGCCTAGGTCTCCAGATTATAATAAAGGAATGTTTATAGTTTGAACATTTTCATACATATAGGTTTTGTCAATTTTAAATATCCTTACGCACGTTTGAAAAACCTAAAGATGAAATGATTATGAATTTGATAATTAGCTACGGTATTGTGAGGTAGTCTGCAAACAGTGTTAGCTGTGAAAACAGACTTTGAACCTCTGAAACCATGAAGAAACTAGGAAGATACGCCTCTCTACTTCACAGTGAAAAGAAATACAGGTGAGTGTGTGTGAAACAAAAGTGGTCTTTGGGTAAATGTGCCATTCTTGGCATTTCAAAATGAGTGAATACAACGTGATAGCTATTTCGATTGTTAATAGATACTGGTCATACACAAATATTATGGACAGTTCATATACATTCATATATGTCAACATTTAAATATGTACATACAAGTATATATATCTGGAATATAGAATTATAAAAAAGAGGCATAAGTAGTGCTTTGTGTTATAAACTAGCCTACGTACTATATATATTCCCTCAGTAATAAATATCCAGAGGCCCAGGGGCTAGTAAGATTAGATCAATCAAATCTGACGAGAGAAATTAGATTATTCAAAAAGCTACGTGTTCTGAAAAACTGTCGCATGCACTTATTCCGAAAGAAATGCTGCTGGTTTTCCTTTAAAAGGGTCATATTCTGAGAGATCTGATTTTGGGGGTTAACTTTAAGAAATCTACATTTCGTCTACGGTCCAAAAAGTCTATTTACGGAAGTTAAGCTACTAAATGTCTCTTTCTGAATTGTATTAGTGCTAAAAACACTTTGAGCACCCACATTTATGGCATGTTTACATAACAACAATATACTATAAAGGGAAAAAAGCTTTCATATACAGATAGCAATGATTTCGAAATGATCCCTATTAGCATGGATACCAGTATTTGGCGATGTCAGTAGTATCTTGAACAGTCCTGTAGGCCATGAGTGTTGTTTTGGTTGTGTTGGGAGCATGTCTATAGACTGAACATGTTTCTGTTGTTTTTAAATTGCACTCTAATACTACCATTTTCTCATAATGGCCAAAACACATTAAAAATAATTAAAATATTTATTTGAAAACAGTGTTGGGTAAGTATACCCTTACATTTCAATGTGGCCAAACTGGTCCCAAAAGAAGTTTAAAAGAGAACGTAGTATAGATTATGTCATACCTAAACACTAGAATAACTAACAATAAGTGTAAAATGTGGGACAAAAGCTGCTGTCTGTGTTTCAGTTTGATCTGAACATTTTATGTACCTGCCACAAAAGTGCTGCTATTAAATGATGAACAGCACAAGCTGAGTAACTCATCAATCGAACTAATTCCACATGCAAAGACAAGAAGTCTTAAAGGCACAGCAGCAAAAAAATGACCTGTTTAATTGGATCAACGTTACAAGTGGACCTCAGGGGAAATAATTAAATGATAAAAATATGTACAATATGACCCCTTTAAAACCTGAAACAAGCCAGCAGTGCAGCAAAATGAGTTAATTCCAGTGCTAAAGTGATGCTGTTTTAAGGACAAAGCTGAACCCGAAGTAAACCTCATCTAATTCACTATCCGATCTATGCTCTACTTACACATTTTTGCACTCCATCCTGCGGTCTCAGAACCAGCAGTTTTATGAAGGGGCCTCAGGGTAACAAACCTTGTGTAAGGGCACATCATTAGGCAGTTAGCATGGCATCTATCAGATGAGTCTTTCTGGTCAAGGCTGACTGTGATCTTGTGGTGGACAAACTGTGGTATGACATTTGGCAGTGAGAGACAGTGGTTCCAGAGTATAGACATCTAATGGGGCTGATGCATTATCACTGCTGCATAGAACCGGGTTGAACCTGTTTGTAGCATCTAGTGAATCCGAGCTACAACATGCGGTTGCCTAGTTGTGGATATATTGTGTTGATTGTTTGCTACCGTTCGGTACATAGCGGAATGTTAATTTATCTAGTGTCACGTGAGTGAATGGGTTGCGTGCTGGTACACAACAGTTTTGTCCTCATGTTTAGTCCTGATTTAAAATGCTGGAAAGCCATCGAAAAGTCTGGCTGTCTGTGAATTGGTTAAAAGGTATAGCTTTGTATTTTTATACCTAAATATAACTATCCTCCAGGTACAAATAGAAAGAAACAATTGTAGTATTTCTGGCAAACAGGAGCATAGTACGATTGTGCTCTATTTTACAATCCTTACACATGACGATTGGGCCAATATGCTCCAAAAGTGGAATTTGTGAGATATACTGTACAAACAGTTGGCTACTGGAATGCTTTAGGTGCACCTGATGGAAAAAACAAACTCCAATTGTCATGGGAAATGATGCAAAAGCAAAATACTTTTGATGACATAGAAAACGCTGCCCTTGCTCCTTCTACAGCCTTAATTATTCAGATATGCCAGTAAATTTCCCTTTACCAGCCAGCTGGAAGCAGGAGTAATTATTCAGGACACTGACAACACCTCGTGTGAGTGTGTATGTGATTAAGTGTGTGTCGGAATACACTTTGTATACCTCCATGCATATGCTCGGGATGTACTGTATGCATACATTCTGTTTATATACGTGGAAGGGAAATACTGTGCACGCTAGTTTGATGATGTGCATAATGCATTTGTGAGTATGTGTGGGGGTAGAGCACATTCTCTAGATCATTTGGTCTTCAACTTGCCCTCCTTTGCCAGCTTTTCATTGAGTTGGCATAGCTGGCACAGGAATCCACCATTTGGGCCGATCTCTCGCTTGTGTCTTACTGTAGCAGTGGCAACTCGTACATCCATCTTGTGACGGAGCATGAGGTAAGCGATGACAATAGTGGGCGAGCGGCTGTAGCCCTCACGGCAGTGAACGTACACCTTTCCTAGAAGAGAAATAGGGAAGAGTGTCTGAAAAACATTTTATAACAAAACTTGCATTACGGTGTAATTACTCCAACAAGACACTGCTGAATCTTTATCGAGAGGAAAGAGCGACCACATATTTAAATATTCATCAAAATGTTGCTCTCACCAGCGTGGATGCAATTAAAATGTTAATTATCACTAAATCGCTGTAAACGTATTTCCATTTTTTTACTTTATTCAAAAAACAAACGAAAGATCTTTGTTGTTTGTATATGACGGCATTGAATCACACTTAGGGTGCTTTCACACGAAGACTTTTGTTTCGGAACCTGCCGCGTTTTCCCAGTTAGTGCGGTTCATTTGGCATATGTGAAACCCGAAAGAAGCGAATCGATTGTAGTGAGAAAGCAATATGATCTAAACCAGGCTTTAGCACAGTGTATTATTGATATGTAATAGACATATATACGGCTATATGAAGACAAGACGGAATTATGAGTAGGGTGGCACTTCATTCCTACCAATAAATGTGCATTTCATGTCAAATACGAAAGTGAAAGCATGCCATTCAAAATTAAAGCACAGCTTTTTGCTTATAATGACTTATTGCTCATCGTCATAAATAAAATAAGGGCGCATGACAGCTGAGCGGGACTCTGCAAAATAAACCCTGAAACTCTGACCAATGTGAGGAGAGTTTACTCGCACAAGTCTTGTCTTAGCTATTTTGGTCCATTTAGAAAATTTGAAAGTGTGAAAGCAAACCGTACCAAGAACAAAACCCAACATTGTAACACAGGTGTGAAGGCACCCTTAAAAGCAGTAAGTTGTTGGCTGCAGTTCACTTAACGGCCACAGGTGTTTCTAAAAATAAGGGCTGTTTCTCAATTCCAAGAACGCTTTGAACAGACTTGCAGTCTTGTAGAGAGCAGTCTAGCCAAGTTACCTAGGAAGAATGAACTCAGGAGGGCATGAGAACAGAGAATGCGTTCTGTGAGAAATGAGATGCTGCGTTCTTCCAGATGGTCATGAGACCTTCATGCGTTTTTAACAGAAAATGATTTAAACATTACAGCATTCATACAATGATTTATTGGTTTTGCCCTTTTCACAATATATATTATGCATAAAAACCTTACAAATATACATTGCACAATGCAAATAAAACAGATTTTAATATGAATTTCAGCAAATAAACACTCTTAAATGCGTTTATGCCTTTATAAAAATTTCCATGGCAATGTTTACTTTCACCGTCTCATTTATGGAAACTCGTGAGACAAATAAGTTATATCTCTGAACTTTAAAAATGAATCTATATATAAAATGCTGTGCTTCCCACCCCAGCCACAACGACTTCTGGGACTACTCGAGCGAATTTCTGCATCGATTACAAGAACACATTCGGGAACATTTACGCATCCTGTGTTCTTGTGGTCCTGAGTTTTCGAACTGAACTTTGCCGGTTGATGATGTTACACGAGAATACAAGAGTGTAAGATCGCTGAAGAACGCATATTAAGAAACAGCCAAGTTTTTCAAAAATCTACATGCATTTCCTTTCATTTCAAATGAGCCTTCAAATCAACTTCCCTCTAAGCATGCAAATACACACGTACACAATCATTATTGACCTGCCGCCTTTCCTGGAGGAATTCACCTTGCCAGACTCTTCTGTGCTTATTTGGCAGATGCTGCAGTAGACCTGAAACATGATGCCTCCTTCCAACCAACAGCCTTGCTTACTTATGTTCTCCCTCGAGTCTTTGTACTGTTTATGTGTCAAGGAGATAACCTTCATTGATTCCTAAATATCTGCTCCCTGTGGATCAATGCAGAGCTACGGATTTGGCGGTCCACACAGAATGCACTTTCTTTCTTTTTTTTGCATTTCTTTGGTTATTTACACTGCTTTTCCATTGTTTTTTATGTAAACATAGGGTAAACAGATGCACTTTATAGAGCTGTGGCAGTACATACGATACATATGCATGCAATGACACCATTATTACTCATAACACTGGTAGGGGAGGAGGGCGATATTGAATAGAACGTGCGTGTTTGTGTGTGTGTGTGTGTGTGTGTGTGTGTGTGTGTGTGTGTGTGTGTGTGTGTGTGTGTGTGTGTGTGTGTGTGTGTGTGTGTGTGTGTGTGTGTGTGTGTGTGTGTCTGTGTCTGTGTCTGTGTGTAGGTCAATATCCACACAGCCATCTTTAGTTTAGAGTTTTAGCATCCATTATTCATATAAATGGCTTTTATTTCTTATAAAAGAACAAGCAATAGCAGGGGGTGCTCAAGTGATGTAAAAGGTATACAGCCAATCAATGTGTAACACACATAAATTCTCACTTAAAAAGTCTTTAATCCCTTTATGTCTCTGAGGTTGTCACCACCATTCAAAAATGACTGCTTCTCAGAATTGGATCAGATAAAATTTAAACCCTACAAAAGTTCCAACCCTACACTCTGACTGGGTTGTTGTAACCCAACTTTGGGGCACTTCTCTTTATGAAAAATAGCTGGAAACGACTTTACCGGTATTTTCAAAAAGACCCTTTCACACACACAGACTTTAACGGAAAATTGCTGATAATTTTCCAGGAAAAGTCTGTATGTATGAAAGGTTTTTTTTTTAAATACCGGTAAAGTCGTTCCAGCAATTTTTCATGAAGAGAAGTAACATTACCGGTAATTTCCCAGAATGCTGCGCTGTGTGAAAATTGCCGGAAAGAGCACGTTCACGTTTAGAACGTGCTGACGTGAGACATCTACCTGAGGTCAATCGGACACTTTCACATCCCCACTGTTTATGAAAATAAACACCTTTGAATCCTTCACCAGACCTTTGGCTACGTTCACACTGCTCAAAACAGATTTTTTCTCAGATCTGATTTTTTTGCATGGCTGTTTACACTGCTCTTATAAATGTGACCAATATCAGATTTGCAGTGTGAAGAGGTCATGGTCCTAAACTGACCCGCATGCACAAAAGTACATTAGGGAGTGCACAAAATGTCTAATTATGCACACAATTTGTAAAATATATGAAGTCAGCACGCTGTCAGATCATGCTTATATGATAACCTTTTTCACAGACAACCGCGGGGCATTCCATGAACTGTAAAGGGTTGTTGTGCTACTACTAATGTGTATTTCGGCATTTGAGACCTAAAAAAGGTCTCTTGTGATTGAAAACAAAGATCATTTGTGATTTAAGACAACAGCGATGTGTGGCGCTCTGACCAGCGGTGTAGTAAACTCATAAAGGGTTAATGAGCAGCCGCACACTGAACTGTGTAGTTGGAGTTGGTTTATCTCTGTTTGCAGAGTTAACTAATTTTACTTCGTTATAAATAACAGACACGTGCAGAAGGGGGGTTTGGGTGCTCGAGCACCTGCCCTTTTTTCTCTCGGAGAGAAAGTTCCCCCTCCTTTGCACACAGATCCCCTATCCGCAACACCCACGGCGCTCTTCGGCTTTGCGATCAACCCATGCCTCAATCATTAACTAGATTGGTTAACAAGCACCAGTTTTACCTTCAAAATCTTTTTTAACATGAACAACCAACTTTCTGTGGTAATCGCCCTGTGTGCCATTGTACTGTGCTGCTGAGGAGTAGATAATGTTTGCAGCACAGAATGATGACGCATGTCGCTCAAAGATTATGTAAAAGTCACATGAAATCTGACATGACCATTCACACTGCGGTCGCATTGCAAAACATCAGATCTTTGTTTTAGATTACATGCTGTTTGGGCTGTTCACACTATTATCACCTGAGTCACATGAGGGAGGAAAAATCAGATTCAGGCCACATTTGCCTGCAGTGTGAACGTAGCCTTAGCTGCTGCTTGTTAGTCAGGTAACGTTTCTCATACGCTGCAGCACACACTCAAATGTAGCCTACATCTCGACAAGCAAAAGTGTTCCTTCATATCATCAACATTTGTAATGTAGTCAAACATGTAAACAAGGCTGTTCCCCTTCGGGGGGAACTCCAGCACTATAAGTGGATTTGATTGTAAAATCCACGCATTGGGAGGTTCGGTTCAGAAGCTACTCGTCTGAAAGAGTATTGAACGGGCCAATTAAGAATGAATTGGCAGCGCAAGCCTGCGCAGGTGAGCGGCATAAGCAATCAACTGAGTATATAAGCTCACCTGGCGCCAGCAGACACTATCCTTTTCGCTTCAGAGACTTTCTGATCGAGTCGATGAGGGTTCCTCCTGCTGTGACCAGCGATTCTGAGCGAACGAGAGCATTCTCCCGGTCCAGAGTGTGTACACGCAGCGGCAGACGGTCGAGCTGGGTTTCTCCCTTGCCTGGCGTTCTTTGGGTCCGGTCCTCCAGAGCGGTGCGTATAAAGTTGCAAACTTCACAGAAAGAGCAACACAGTCGTGCAGCACGTCCTTTTCAGGACGGCGCTCCGACTGTGCGTTTCTGGATGCGGTGGTTTTCTGTCCTCGGATGATGGGCGCGGGCACTGCGTTACATGTCTGGGGGTCCAGCATGTTAATGCGCTGCTCGCGGGCAGTTCATGTCGTCATTGCGATGCCATGACTGTTGCGCAAGATCGCGGTTAGCCTTTGCAAAAGGGCGAACCACCCCAGTTGTCCCCTGCTCTGCAGCTGGCACTCGGGCAGATCTGAGGGTTTCAGCGAGAGATAATCCGTCGCCCACGGGCCCGCGGACCTCCCGCTCCTCTAAGCGCTCCATCCAAGCTTCGGGTGGGGGAAGCGATCCGTCTAACAGATGGTGGCCCTTACGCCCGATGACACCGGAGACCAGATGTCCACCGCGGCATCGGAGGGTGGGCTTTCATTGTCCGATGATGATCCAGACCCGCTCGCCCCCTTCGGGCTGGTGAGCGCTGTCACTACGGATCCTGAAACGGACATGTTAGCCGTGCTTTCCCGGGCTGCTTCGGCCGTGGGTTGGAGATGGTTTATCCCCCAGCTCCGCGGCCGGACCGACTAGAGGGGCGTTCCCTTCTTCCCGGAGGTGCACAGTAGGCTC